GAGTTTTCCATCTTATTTAGCACTTTGTATGTTGGATAAAAAGTTCAGTTTTTCATCTTATTTGAATAAAACCCATTCTTCTTTCATGAGAAAGACTTCCCACAGCATGATGCTGCCTGACTCATCGGACCAGACAACCTTCGTTTTTGAGAACGGAAGAGAAATGAGTGACAGGGAGATCAAAAAGATGAGTAAGGAGGGTGAAGCCTGCGAAGACAGCAGGAAAAGCTCAGAGGGGAGAAAGTCAGAGACACAGACACAGATAAATATTGCTGATGATCAGGTCCTCAAGGTGAATCATCTGTAATTACTCACGTCATCCACTGACTTCGCTCTGATAAGCAGCATGCCCCTCGGAGACCGCTGCTCAGAAATGATTTCTCATAATGTGTGGCTACGGCGGAGAACCCTTTCTGCCTCCCTCACACATACACGCAGATACAAACTCATTCACACTGATAGAGAGGCTTCAGCTATTGGCCTACGGAGACGCAACGTGCTCTGGTCAGAACAAATTAAGAGCTTAGCCTCCCCAGGATGTTCACTCGGGAGCCACCGAATGGACTGATGGCTGTGCGTCTGTGTGTTTGAGTGTGTTTGATCCAGATATACTGTTATCTGTCTGGGAGGCAGGCTGATTGCTTTGCAGTGTCCGGGGGGCTTAACCCATCACTAAAGACTGTTAAAGATTACATTCTCGCATGCTTTGAAAGCATTCTTCAGCAACAAACCAACACCCCAGACACCGGCTCTGCATGCAGAATAGAATTAATGGGTACATACAAAGTGAAGTACAGTCTTCAAAGCGACGGGGGATACAACGTGGCTGTCTTTGCCAGGAACTTGGCTTATTGCTGCAGTATTTCAAATCTTCATTCATGGCTACCAATATTAATTCGTTTGAAACAAGTTTAGGTAGCTGCTTTCGCACATGCAGTGCGGGACAGAAAAGTGTTTTACATTTGAGGAGCTTCTCTTGATAGGACATAACAAGGAGTGGAGTTTAATGCATATTAATAAAGGGGAGTATTATACCAGAGGATTATCGTAGATATTTCAGCTTTTAAGAGCACTCCTGCACTGGCAGTATCAACAGTTGATACGTTAGTCACGCAGCATTGTTTGTTTTAGTAATGATTACAATTATGTTTTCTCTGAGCATACTTAAAACTCCAGAAGAACTTTCCAGATGGTTCCGTGAAGCAAACCATCTGGCACATCAGGTTATGTTTTCAGAACTAGTGATATCATATATGATTGCACAAATCTTGTATTGGAGCCAAGGCCGTGACTTTGATGGAGCTGCCAACTGCATGCATGACTCAAGCTCTTTTTTAACCCTAAGCCATAAAAAGAACACCCTTCGTCAGATCATCCTCAAACCCAACACTATGTTGGTTCATGGCCAATTTAATCAAAATACATTCTGAACTCAGATCTCAAAGCACCAATGTGGAATATGTTTCAATAATGAAGTAAATTCAGAAAAAAAAGATGTTTTAGACTCCTGGCAGGTGTTGATCTATTTTACTTCCTCTGAAATCTGTCAGTCTCAGTTACATCTAAGTGCTCTGTCACCCTATATAGCCCCCCTTTAACTACCAAAGACCCTAACATCTTTGAACTAGGTGAATTAGAGTGCTGACTAGGTGCTTTTGAGGACTGCCTGTTGCCATAGCTATGTGTTGATCAGCTCAACTTACCACATTTCATTACCGTCCGTTTTGCTGTTTCACCTACAGCACAGATCAGAGAACCCAGGGCAGCATCACAGCAACCTGTGGCTCAGCTGCGACCATTAAGGGTCAAGGTCAGAGGTCACAGAGGTAGGTGTAGGCTCACTGTGTTGTTATATATCAATTAGAGTACAACTAGGAGGAGAGTTGCGTTGGAGAAATATAAGGTGATGGCTTTCTTTTTCCTGATTAGCAAATAATCCACCTTTAGTTTCCTAAAAAAAAATATTAAAGAGGTATGAAATAAAACTGATAATGTTTGGAAAGATGGCTAATCATGCCATTTCCTCTACTTGAAACTGTCCAACAGTTCCATCATCTCAGTAAGAGGTTGACACATGTTTAAACCGGTGATTTAGTTTTAAACTGAGGTTCTGTTAAAACCTTATATATTACCTGCAACAGGTAACACTTACTGCATGTCTTCACTTATCTCTTCATTTAATATACTGCAAATCCAAATCGTTAGTAACTTCCGTGTTCAGCAAGTCTGAGAGGGGCAAAGACTAACTACTGGATGTACAATAGGACCTTTATTATGGAGCAATATATTGGTGAGTGAATCACACGATTAAAAAACATTCAGCTTGACAAATTTCATACAAATCTTCATATAGCTGCATGCATCTGCAACACAACTTACTCTTGAAAAACATTAGAAAACAAAACAGAGCATTTATGTTTTTATGTCGTGAAGATCTTGCAATAATATCTTACACGTTTTAGAGGCTTCTGCAAACGTTTGTGAATCAGAATAGGCCTATCTAAAGGAGAAAGTACATGTATCAGTCTGAACTCACTTGGATATTTCACAATAAACATATTGAAATGTAGACTGTCTTAAAATGTGGGACTGATGCATGAAGACATGCAGAGTGAAGTGAAATGTAAGAGCATGCTGTCAAAATGAAGTCCTTTATGTGGTCTTGAGGTCAAAGCTGTAGACTCAGCACGCAGTTGTGATGTTTTACAAATGCACACATGCAGAGGAAGCCAGAGTAGAAAATCCAGGGAGCATTTCAAACAGAAAAAACAGATGCTCCGAATGCAGCAGAACAAGATAATTACCTCAAAGTAGTGGTCAAATTTAACTCATCGTGAATCTTTCTCTTTTGTGGAGGCAGTCTCAAACTAATTTTGTCATGTTTGTAAATTGTAAAGTCTCAAACTCAGCAACAGTCTATTGAAACCCTATGGAAGAAGTTATGCTTTGATTCATGCAGTTAACTTAGAACTCCTTTGATTTTTATTAAAATAAGCAGATAGGACAGCCATGACTTCTTTCAACTGGAAACATTGATTTATTAAATGACCGTAGTTAACTGGTGAAAATCTATCTAAAGCAAGGTTGTGCAATACCTATGAATATTAAAATGGTTCTCTTCAATATTAGTAAATATGTAGCCTCAAGCTATACAAAGTGATTCATGAGTCAGAACCAGCATATTTAAAACGGGGTGACATGCATCTAGAACAAACTATTCACAAATTTAACTTCAACACATAAAATCAGAGTTAAAATAACAAAAAAAAATCCAGTTGTAAATAATAAAATATTTAAATGTCCAGACTCTTGTTTAAAGTTTAATTAAGCACAGTTGTATTAGTGTATACTACATTATTCACTTAGTACCAATATCATTTTGACATAGTAAGCATATTTTTCTGAATTGCTGGAAAAACTGGAAACCTGCTGCTCTGCAAAAAAAAAAATAAATAAAAAATAAACAAGATAAGTTGACCTAAAAATGCAAACAAACACCAACATCTTTAATGGTAATGGAGAAACACATTTACGCATGCACATTTGTCAGTGTGTTCACACAAGTAGATTTTCTTATCAAACACAATGTCAGCAGTCACTAATCACTATGACAAAGCTGGTCCTCCTTTTGGTTTCTGCTCTGTTAAAGTCTGTCAGCAACCCTTTTGACTTGTCATCACATCATTTTGTGCTTGTATTTATAGTTGAGCATTTAAACCTGTGAGTACAGTCAGGTGAAATGTTAACTTTAGTTTCAGCTCTGTATTTAACTCCTTTGAATTCTCCCATCATTTCCCTGTTATTGTAAGAGCTTCAGGGACCGTTCACTGCTCTCAGATGAATGAGGCGATGCCAAAGGAACCATGACGGGAGAGACTACACACAAACGAAATCTCTCCCTCTGAGATTTCCTTTAATTATGTCCCTCTCTTTTACGACTTCTGCTTGTACTTTTTAAGGCTTTTAATTTTGTCTGCCTTCCAAATATCCCAAGTATTTTGTGCCTTCCAAAAACACTCATACCCCTTAATTTTTTTTTTTTATTTTGCCTGAAAAACTTCAGTGTGTTTTACTGTCATTTTATGAGACGTGACCAACAAAACGTTCAACTATGAAAAAGGATGCAAAGTTTTCAATCTTTTTTTTTTTTTTTTACAAAGACAGTGTTGTAATTTTATATTTTGCCCCTTTTACTCTGATCACCTTTAGTCCAGTCCAACCAATAGAGTTCAGAGGTTACATAATTATTAGATAGAGTCCCTGTGTATGTATTTTAATCTCAATACGGATATGAATGCTCAGAGTTGATGTAACTTTTGATAGAGCTAAATTCAGGGAACGTGTGCACTAAATATACAGCAAGATTTACCATTTGAAATTGTGTAAATGTAGGCATAGTGTTGAGGTAGAATGGCCTAGCCAAAGTCCAGGCATAAATCCAGTTACTTTTAATGTTTTTCTAAGAAGAATCGACAGAAATATCAGACTTTACCCCAAAAACACATGCAGCCATAGATGCATGTGGAATGTAGTTTTACATTGTGATTTAGAGCGAATTAAATACACATGCACAGTTCAGTTCTGAACTGTTAATGTGTAAAAATAATTTCTCTTTTTATTGCAGAAAATCTTAAATGCACTAATTGAAATCCACCAAAATCTGAAAAAAAAAAAAAAGCTACGTCTGTACTAATAACTTTTCAGGTCTCCGTCATATAATGAACTCTTTCATATCTGAACACAACAGAGAGACTTAAATTTATATTAAAACTTCACTAAAAAGAAAAGGGAAAACCATTTGCTCATTTACACCCATTATCTCATCTTAACCATTATAAGCCCACTGTTACAGGTGTCCATCCCTCATTGCTGTGACTCAGTGTTGATTTGCCCGGACAGCAGAGCCGAAGAGCATGATCAATGAGTCTTCCCGCTGTGTTGAATTCAAAAGGAATGACCCAGCTCTCTTTTTCTCCTCTCCTCTCTTTGCTTTCTCCCAGTGGAGGGAAAATGTAAGATAGACACGAACGTTCCTGGTATACACTCACATCTGTCTATACCTCGTAGCTTCTTTTTGTTTCATTTAGTGGATTCAGCACGTTTTCTTTTTTAAGTAGAAGTAGTTCTGTGATGCAAATAACAAAGACTACAGCTTGAAAGTCCTCACTATTAGAGAAATTAAAGAGATCATGTTAGTGTAAGGGTGGAAAAACAAAACACTATGAGATTTTTGTTAATATTTAATATTAATTATGCAGCTTCACACAAATTTAGAGCAACTGAGATGGAAACATCACACTTCATGGCTTATCTTAGAGATATTTTCATAGCACCCTAATAGAGAAAAATTGGCTATGGCAGCAAGTTTGCTTTTAATTAATTTGAATCATTTACAAAAGATCTGGTAGTGTGATTTTTTTTCACCCTTAAGTGTTTATTAGATGTTTAGTATTCAGAAAGAATGAATCTGGATCTAAATAATTCATCATTAAATGGTTACAGGGTGGAGATAACTATTTTTCTCTCTATCTCCCCTCCTCCCCTCTTTTTTCCTCTAATTCCAAACCCCTAATTGTCTTCAACATTATATGAATCTCTTTGCCTCTATTTTCTTCTCTTTTCACCATCTTTATTCTTCATTCTCACTTCCTAATTTTCTCATTACTTTCTTTATTCGCTGTATTTCTGTTCTTTTTATTTCCTTCCTGCTTCCCTCTGCTTCTCCTTTGGACCCCTCCCTCTTTTTGTTTGTTGCAGTGGGAGGAGATCAGTGGTGTGGACGAGCACTACACCCCCATCAGGACCTTCCAGGTCTGCAACGTGATGGAGTACAGCCAGAACAACTGGCTTCGCACCAACTGGATCCCTCGCCAGTCGGCGCAGAAGATCTACGTGGAGCTGAAGTTCACCCTGCGGGACTGCAACTCCATCCCGCTGGTCCTTGGCACATGTAAGGAGACTTTTAACCTCCTCTACCTGGAGACAGACGATGACCAGGGAAGCCACTTCAGGGAGCATCAGTTTCAGAAGATTGACACCATTGCTGCCGATGAGAGCTTTACCCAAACAGACCTTGGAGATCGCATCCTCAAGCTCAACACCGAGGTGCGGGAGGTGGGCCCTTTGAGCAAGAAAGGTTTCTACCTGGCATTCCAGGACGTGGGTGCCTGCGTGGCTTTAGTCTCAGTCAGAGTTTACTTTAAAAAGTGTCCGCAAACTGTGAAGAATTTGGCCTCCTTCCCTGACACTGTGCCCATGGACTCCCAGTCCCTGGTTGAGGTCAAAGGCTTGTGTGTCAATTACTCAAAAGAGGAGGAACCCCCACGAATGTACTGTAGCACAGAGGGGGAGTGGCTTGTGCCTATTGGGAAGTGTCTCTGTAACCCAGGATACGAGGAGAGAATCAGCACCTGCCAAAGTAAGAAACATTTGTTTTTATATGTGTACACATATATATATATATATATATATATATATTGTATTCTATAATGTCCAATGTCTCATCTCTTCCTGTGTGTGGAACCTCTCTGATCCACATAAGTTAAAGACCTTTCCGAGGCTGCGAGAAAAGATTGATGTAAAGACTCCTACACTTCATATCTGTCAGTTTAAGGGTTTTAATGTGAAATACTTGGTCTTTGTGTGCACATTACGTATTTGACTGTGGATTCATTCTGTTTGGGAAACCTTCAAACAAATCCAAGGCTCCCAAGGTGTCTCTGGATAGGTTGTCCAGCTGTACGCATGTATCTCTCTATATGTAGACGATGTGTTATCCAGGTCCGTCAGCAGGCGGGTGCAGCCGGTAGTGATTTGGTAGTAACCTTTTCTTTGACACATCATTATCTTTGGAAGATTTTAGCTAGAACTGCAAAGACAGGTCCAACAAAGGGAGTAGACTGGAGTGAGTTACAATGGAATAGCTGTGGTGATGACTGTGGGTGCGGGGGGAAGTATGACAGGAGGTTAAACTGAGATTGATGTAAATGTATTTGTATATCATTGTCTGGTCGTCATGACTGTTCTGCTGCTTGCACAATCTTCACACATGTTTTGGTCCTTGCAAAACGTTCTCACAGACCAACACAAACTAGAATGTAGATGTGAAGCGGGAGGACATAATTGATCAATTTTAAATGTTTTAAACTCTGGAGCAGTGGCAGATACCCATCTGCCATTAGATGTGGATCACAGTCCAGTCTTTAAAGATGTGCTAATAAGAAGCCACGTATGAAAGAAAGCCATAAAGTAAGTTTTGTTTGCAGTTTGTCACAATCCATGCAGGATACAGAAGAAACCTGGAAGGAAACTTGTAGAGGTCTCAGCCACATAGCTCAAATGTCTTTCCTAATTTAGTGATCTAAGCATATTTCTTTTGGCATTTACACCAAATGCTATGTAGAGTGTGAAACAAACTCTAATTACACCATCCTCAGGGCGAAGAATGGTAGTTGCAATGTTATGCTGAGGGGATTTTTCAGTTGGGACACGGAAACTGGTCAGAGTTGATGGGAAGATAAATGGAGTTAAAAACAGGGCAATTGTGAAAGAAAACTTGTTAGAAGCTGCAAAAGACTTGAGACTCCGACAGAGAACGTAATCTTACTGATCTTGAGCTTTTTTACAAAACGCCCGTCTCTAGATGTGTATACCAGTAAATACTTCCTACAATGACTTTAAAGCAGAAACAACACTGAGGACTACAGCAAAGAATATTCAATATTGCATTCTCAGCTTTTGTAGCTTGTCCCAAATGGTTCCTTGTTCATCAGTGCTTTTCTCTCCAGAGACATGCCCGGTGTTAATTAAAGATCAAAGGCGGTCTACTGGGTCAAGCCCCTGCTGTCAGGGCCAGGGGACGCTCTTTTTCTGGAACTCTGGACTCCAGACAAGCATTTTCTCATCGCCCAGATGCAAGGATAATTTTAGTCAGCATGGCTGGATAAAGTCAGAAAAAAACAACATAATAAACAAGAGGCCGGAAATGAAATATATATCAAATTAATATATATTTCAGAAGCTAGAAAAAGTACAGAACCTGTCATATTTTTGTTGCATTTTTCTGTTATTCAGGCTTTTCTCAAAAAATTAACAAAATAAGTTTGATAGATATAGTGGAATGATGTTATGGAAATATATGTTGCACTCCCATCAACACAACCACACACACGGACACACACACACTCACACTCACGCACACGCAAGCCCTCACCCCTCCCACTTCACTGTCACCCTCCATTCGCTTCCTGCGTCTCTGTGAATTGTGTGAATGTTTGGATGTATTTGACAATCTCTTATTAGTTTCAGAGTGCTCTAATGGACTCTAATAAGGTCTTGTGTTACTATGGAGTGGGACAGCTGCACCAAGGGGCCCCTGCAGCCCCCTGCAAGCAGCCGTCAGGGGCCCCCATCATGCCGCACGCTCACCAGGCCCTCTGTGTTAACAGATAGATGGCCAAATGGCGTTAGGTCACCATATATGCTGGTACCATAAAGAGGAGGAAAACATATTTACAAGGCTGCACACATGGAGAAAAATGATAGAAACAGATGCGTGAGGGATGGTTTATCAAGTATACACATGTTACAGATGCTCAAGCCGGCACATGTTGTGAAGCTTTATCGCATTAGTCTGTGATCTATTTTAAATTTTATTGAAGCTGGACATGAAAACCTATAACTGTATTTGAACAACCCGCTGTGATTTTACATTGAGAAATCTGTTAAAAATGTCTATCATTTCTGAGCTAAAACTGCAAAATCAGCTGTGAAAAATTAACTGCACTTTTTTTTTTTAATGTAAGTTTTCAAATTACATTTTTATTGCAAAAAAAAAAAAAAAAAAAAAAAAACTATCCACCAAAGCCATAGACGAAAATAGAAAATTCCCCCATTTTTAAATTGTGAATTGTAAATTGTGGACTCCTATGTTCAACTTTACTAGCCACACCCAGATCTGGTTACTATTTGTGCTGAAGAATCACTCAAAACAATCTCCCTGACAACATAAAGTAGGCTAAATAATCTTAAAAAGCCAGGCGTCATGTGTTTTCTAAAGCTTTGGGAGTTCAAAGAAATACAGTGCGAGTCATCATCTACAATAAGAAAAAACATGAACCGATTAAAAATCTCTACAGAGTGATCTTCCAAAAACTACTCCATGAGATTTTTTTTTTTGATTCATCAAAAACATCCCAAATTTATTCAAATGCATGTCTTTTAGGTTTCTGGTGTATTCATATTTTCACAAAATGCCATGCTGGTTTGAATCAAATGTTCCCCTAGATTAAATAAAATCATAATTTAAAAACTGTTTTTGTACTTACTCAGGGTATCTTTGATTTTTTTTTTTTTTGTTGTTGTTTTTTTTGTTTGTTTTTTTATAATCTGGGAACAAAGAAGCATCGATGGAAAAAATCTGGAAAGACTTAAATGCTTTTTCACACCACTGCATGTTTTCAAATGAAAGAAGACAGGAGAAAGATTTACTAAAGAGTGGTGAAATTATTAAAATAACCTTTATTTTTATTTTCAGCAATACTTTAATGTAGTTGCTGCTATTTCAGTAAAATATTTTATTAGTGGGATTGTGAGAATAGTTGTTTTTGTTTCCAGAGACTCTAAAGTATGTTTAGCTTAATTATTTGAGTACACACTAGTAACAGACGATCAGTGCGTTGTTGGGATGTAATTTTGTGTCCGTGTTTGTTTGCTTGTGCTCAAGGCCAGAGTTGCTGGCTAAATGTCAGACTGTTTTTTCAGTGGCGCCGTTGAAAGAAAACACACACTCTGCCTGGGTGAGGCCGTGAGAGTACATATCCGAGCTGCAGATATACGGGAGGACATTTTTTTTTTTTTTTTTTTTTTTTTGTGGAAGACTGAATGCATTACTAAAACGATTCAATGAGTATTCATGTGAACATATTTTAGCTATACGATGCTTATCAGAGCAGCTGGTGTCAATTGATTTATTCATCATGTAGAAACTCAGCGCTGATGCAGGGTAATCTGAAATGTCCAACATGTATAGTGGTGTCACTCGTCTGGATTACTGTATATCTTGCAAGAAGCCTTCAGCTTTTCCACACAAATGTGAAGCCAGATCTAATCTCTCTAAGTCCGTCTTTCATCTGTCAATACAACAAAATGGAGCAGGTGAACCAACTCCTATCTACCATCAGTGTGAAATTCCTGCAACCTTAATTTGATCCTAAAACAGCTAACGGCGGCCTGTTTGTGAAAACTGTGTGTGCGTGTGTGTGTGTTGAGAGGATTGTGTGTCAGTGTGTGTGTCTATGTGTTGCATGGGCAAGCAGCTGTTCTGCTGTACGGTGAGAGGAGATCCAGGTTTACATTCTTGCTGGATTTATCAAGAAACAAAGCCCTGAAACTAGCCAGCTCCACAATATGCATTGTACTGCAGAAAAAAAAAAAAATCTTTGTACAAAGACACACTATCGAATCTTCTTCAAACTCATTTGCATCATTTGTCTGAAATTCTTTTATTTGAATTGAAGAGTCTAGCTTTATACATAAATGTCTTGTTTTGTCAGTTTCCCGCTTTCAATATTGTTCAATTTCTCTTAGTCCTTTTAGACTTAAACAATATATCTCTGTGACCTAGACTTGATTTATTATATCAACCAAGTCTAGGTCAGTCTAGAAAAATACATTTTAATTTCAACAAGACTTTTACCTGGGAAATTGAATGTCATAATTAGCATTCAATTCAATGCAATTTATTTATAGAGTGTTAGTTCATAATAAATGTTGAGACACTTTACCAAAAACTTCCTTTAAATTAATTAAATCATAAATTACAATTCATCCTTCTGATTAAACTGTAATACATTTTAAATGTTGCTCATATTAACAATTTTGTCCTCTCAGCAATAAAAATGAAACATAATTAAAATATAATTAATAAAATTAAATTTTATATACAAAGTACTTTTCTATGCATCCTTTTTTCCTTCAAAAGTATAACTAATTTAATATTAATATTAATATACATTTATAAAAAAAATTTGATTCACATTTTAGCTACATATCATGCATAAAATATAAATACAAACACAATCAACATATTTAATTTATTTATTTTTTGGGAGTTTCTAGCTGTCCAAAATCAAACCAAAATGTCTGGTGATTGCTCCTTCTCTTTCGTCCCACACGTTCTTCTCATCCCGCTGCCTGATGGTCTTGGCTGCCGAGTTCAAAGCACTTGGTCCATATCACGTCAAATGTTTTATATCACTCTTCACTCTCCAGCTTAAGTGATTTAGCGGCTGCCCTTGTGCACAGAATTGCTTCGCTCTCAAGCAGACATTTTGAACTCGCATTATACATCTTCCACTGAGGCTGTCACGCGAGCCTCCATCAACTTGACCAATCATATACTTAGGCTGGGCCTGAGCT